AACTCTTTGACCACCGGTCAAACCAATTTAGACTTTCACCAAAGTCAAACCACTTAACATTTAATGCCTATGACGGAGATAGCCTCAATCCGTAATACCGAAGATAGCCTCAATTCGGTGGAGGTAGGATCCCTCGGGCGATAGCCTCAAACCCAAGATCACAGACCCTCGTGCGCACGTCTTAACCTCACTGACCAGGCCCTGCAGCCGCCCGAGCAATGGCCAGTTTCTATGTTCAACATAATAAACCAATTGACCCAAATTACCGATTAGAATTAATTAACTAACTTAACTAATTCATTAAAGTCTTGGATTTAACCATCCGGTCAAACCTACGTCAACAAAATATCCAGTCAAAGTCCGAGTCAACCAGGACCTGATCCAAGTCAAAGTCAAACCTATTCAGTCAATCCATAATCCTCAACAATTCGATTCAAATAATCAATTTAATTCAATTAACCAATTTAGCCAAATTATAGCATAAACACATATAACGATCCAAACCATTAAATCTATTCTAAATGGTATTAACTTCATAGTACGGACCTGGATTACGCCGAAATCGAATCGATAGCTCGAACGGAAGACAATTCAACGAAATCAAACGAACGGGTCAAATTGAGTCAAAATACGAAATCGACCAATCAATCCGGTTTGGTAAGAAACAAGTCAGTGTTGCGTTATCCACAACCGAAGCGGAATATGTAGCCGCTGGTAGTTGTTGTGCTCAAATCCTTTGGATGAAGCAACAACTCGTGGACTATGGCCTTAGTATCAATCACGTTCCTTTTCGTTCTGATAATACTAGCCCCATAAGCTTGACGAAGAACCCCGTTTTTCATTCAAGGACGAAATACATTGACATTAGGCATCATTTCATTAGAGATCATGTTCTCAAAGGTGATGTCGAAATTGAGTTTGTTGAAACACACAACCAATTTGCCGACATTTTCACAAAACCTTTAGAGAAAGAGTCGTTCTTCCGCATTCGAAGTGAACTCGGAATCCTTGACTCCACGATGATCTAAGTTGTGCATCTAAACTTGTTAAACGTTTACTAACTTGAGCGTCGAAGAACTTTTTTTTTCTTTTTTGCAGGTACCCCGTTCATAAAATCAGGGGGAACCATGCAAACAGCGCTGTTGAGAGAAACACCTCAACCAGTTTGTGCCAACAGCGCTGTACAACACGCCAACAACGCTGTCCCAGGGAGTCCCTTACTCTTCACTTTCCAGAAACTTTTTGAACATCGATGTTCCTGCTTAAAAACCATCGCTGTCTACCCAAAACACCTTGTTTTTCAACCAAAACCAGAAACTTTTCAAACAGCAATGTCCCACTTTCAACATCGATGTCCATTTTTACAAATTTTTTTCTCTATCGTAAAACAGCGATGTAGGGAAACCCAACAGCGCTGTTCTAATGGGTTCAACCCCTTACATATTTCCAGAAACTTTTGGAACCTCGCTGTAGGGTACCCAACATCGCTGTCCATTTAACACTTGTTTTTAAAACTTGACGCACAACAGCGCTGTCCCAACAGCGATGTAGCCTCTGAACATCGCTGTCCTGGATAAATTTTTCAAAAAAATATCCGTTGGCACCAGCATTAATTGATCCAACAGCCATATTTTTGAAAATCTGGACGTTGGAGACCTCTTTTTCTATAAATTGGGACCCCCTCTCTTTACTTTTACACACAGAAACACAATTCTCTTCAACATCTTTGCTTATTTCATCATCTCTACTCTCCTCTTTTGAGCTTTTTTTTCATGGGCAAGGACAAGAGCAGGGCTGCCCCCTCCGGGAAATCAAACTCCAAATCCCGGGCACCTACGACATCCACCGAGGAACGCCTCTACTATGGCGACGGATCGTACCTCTGGTTCGATTCCGAGGAGGAGCGCACCCGCTTTCTCACTTTCTTCTCTCAACGGGTCGTGGCTCCTCCACGGATCATCCCGGAGCGCTACCCGGAGCTGCAGGGCTACGACGACCTCGACGCGCAGCTTCATCAAGCCGGCCTTTGGCCATTCGTCTCCCAGGCTCGGAAGGAGATCAACCCGGCGCTAATTCGGGTCTTCTACTCCAACCTCCGGCGTGAGGGCGATGTGCTCTACTCTCTTGTCAAGAGCACGCTGATAGAGCTTTCCGTTGAGCAGCTTGGGCGCATCGCTGGCCTCCTCTACCAAGGCGACGACGTCTCCCCTTATGGCGGAGAGGACTAGGTGCTCAACAACGAGGGCCTTATCCTCAACGAGCTTGGCATCACCGAGCTCATCCGCCATGCCTCAGGCCGCCCCACCATCCACTCCGCTAACCCTGAAGGCCGTCTCATTCTCTACATCGTGTCCCGGATCATCAAACCCCATAAGCACAGCCACACAATCATGTCCGGTGAGGACCTCAAGCTCATCCATGCGATCATGCACTCGGCCCCAATCAATTGGGCAAAGTTTGTCATGATCAACATGACGATTGCCGCGTCCACCGACCACGATCACCTCCTCCCGTACCCGTTCGTGGTGATGGACATCCTTGAACGGTTCAAGGTGACCACCACCATTGGCCCACTCACGAAGGCCACGAAGCATTGGACGATCAACACCCAAACCTTCACCAAGCGGTCGGACAACGCCGCGCCCGCCACTGCTGCGCCACGCCGCACTGCCACTGGCCCAGCCGAACCCCAGGCCCGGGCCAACCTTGCCTCCATCGCCGACTCCCTCAACCGGCTTCACTTCAAAGTTGACGGGATGGATGCCTACCTTGAGTGGCTAGACGTGGCTGTCCAACGCCAAAGGTACGCCATGAAAGCGTACTTCCAACGCGTCAACTATGTCCCCCCACCGTACCAAGGCACGTTCCTTGGGCAAGTGTACGGTGAAGAAGACGAAGAGGATGGCTCCTACGCCCCGTCAAGCTCCCCGGACGAGGACGAGTTCGATGACGCCGTTGATGGTGATGAGATGGACGTCGACAACGACGAGGAGGAAACCGAAGACGAAGACTAGGACGCCCCTAGAATTTCTCTCTCTTTTATTTTAATTATCATGTTTCTTAATGCTTCCATTGTACTCTGCTATTTCCCATCTTTAATAAATAAAAGTTATCTTTTATCTTTTAGTTAAGGTCAAAAGGGGGGAGAAAAGGGCTATGCATATACTAAGGGGGAACGCCTCTAAAAACGAGACCGTTTGATTTTAATCCGACTAATTTCTTTTAAGCACAAATTAAGGGGGAACTTTTTCACTACTTTTTGAAAATAAAATATCCCTTAATATGCATATCCCCGTCTTGTTTGCCATTATCAAAAAGGGGGAAATTGTTGGAACACGGGTTTACGCCTACGTCGTACTAAACTGTGTTCGTTTTTATGACATGTTTTTATAATGCCAAACCGCCGTGACACAACAAGGCTAAAGTGAGAAAAACCAAGGCGAAGTATTTTGGAGAACTTACGTTTTTGACATCGGCTAACGGCATGACTAAACCAACCATGGGTCTGGCTAAACCAGCCCAACAGCGATGTTGGTGCACCCAACAGTGCTGTCTGGCTTGAGTAGCTGAAAACCATAGTTTGGCGTTACGTCTTCCAACAGCGATGTTGCACACTAGACATCACTGTTGTGCCAAGGTTGGATTTCCAGAAACTTCTGGAACAGCGATGTAGGCTTCCCTACAGCGCTGTCCAACCTAAGCCAAAAATATGGTGCATTGGCAGAAAGTTTCAGGACAGCAATGTTGACCCAGCAACAGCGCTGTCATGCCAAACTTCCATCTTCAAAGTCAGACCTAAACAGCGATGTTCTAGTATTGAACATCGATGTAGGGACCTGACCGTTGGAAGGAATTTAAGGCTAAAACTTTCCTTGTATAGAAGTCAGCAGCCAAAACAGCGATGTAGGGATATTGGACATCGCTGTTGGCATGACAGTTGCTTACCAATTTTAAAAATCCAAGCCTAGAACAGCGATGTCCAAGCCTAGGACAGCGCTGTCTGGGTGAATTTCAGCAGATCCAAATTTAATCAAATCCCACAAATTGTGCAAATCACCCCTTAAATGTTTTGGTTCGTTGGAGCCTATTTTTCCACTATAAAATGGGGTGTTTGGGTCTGTTTTAGACATAAGATTGACTTCACAACTCCTACTCTTTCATTGCAAATCACTCATTCTTTATTCATAGCTTTTTGAGAGCCATTTTTGTGAAGCTTGTGTTGTGTTCTTGAGCGTTCTTAGTTACTCAATTATCCACTCTAAAAGAGAGTATTGTTCTTGAGTGTGTTTAGTGTTTTTAGACACTTCACAAGAGAAAGTATTTCTCTTGTTGTTCGAAGGAAGGATTGTTTCCTTCGAAGGTTCGTTGAGGTTCGTGTGACTCGAATTCTCAAGTTGTACGGGTTTGTTAAGCACCGTTAAGCTTAACGAGATAGTAGTGTAGATCGAGAGAGTCTCTCGGGAGGCTGGATTAGCCACAAGTTGTGGTGAACCAGGGTAAAATCGGTGTGCCTCTTTATTTTCTCTTTACTTCTCATTTATTCATTTTTATTCCTGCGAATTCTTGATCAAACGCTATTCACCCCCCCCTCTAGCGTTGATCGATTATTATAACATAAGTGTTGGGCATTTGACAATATGATCAAACATTATGTATTTTGCGTAAGTTTTAAAACTCTTTGTCATGTTTATGTTTCAAACTTTTATTTATGCACTTATATGACTCAAACTCCTTTGTTATGATTATGCCTTTGATTTGATTCTGCTCATGGTTTGAATGCTTATGCTTATGATGCTTGTTGCTTATAAATGTTGCCGTGATGAATGCATATGTGTTGAAACTCATGTTTTTGGTACCCCGCCTTTTTGAATGTTGCCAAAAGGGGGAGAAATATTAGGCTTTCATATGCATACATTTAGGGGGAGTTTTTTTTGTCAAAATATCACGTGCATCAACTTAGGGGGAGTTTTAAAATCAATATATGCTTTTCACGATATGTTTGTGCGTTTGATTATTATATTCGAAAGCCTTATTTGTCAACATAAAAAAGGAGTAGATTGTTGGCCTTAAATACCGTACCCCGTAACCATTTTGATGTGCCAAATAAGTCTTCCAAATGCTACTAACATCATTTCCAGGAAGAAAACAAACGTCAAACCTCTATTCGCTTGTTTAGCATCACCGAGATATACTTCTACGAGTTTAGAAATTATTGTGTAAAGGTAATGATATATTTTAATGATTTACTTATGCCCTTTCACTCAAAGATTATTTTTAAAATATCAAATATATTCTTAGTTGGGGTTATTTTGAAAACGGAACACGAAAAACGAGGTTTGGAAAAATTGCACAGGTCAAACGGTACCTGGCTACCGTGTACACGGCACCAGGGTACCGCCGGTAGCCAAGTGAACGTACCGCTGTACGCTTCACTTGAGAAGTACACGGTACCCCCCCTACTGTGTCACGGTACCTGGGTACCGACGGTAGGGAACGACGGCTGGCCCAACCCGTCCTAACTAGGTACCGTCAGAGGCGAAACCAATTTTTGGCCTATACGATACCCCCAAACTGTAGGTTGTACCGTGCTCACGGTACCTAGGTACCGGACGGTACTGACCCTACCGTAAAGGGTACCGGATCCGTTGTAATCACTGTAGCAAATTGCCAATTTAAATTCAAATCACCCTTAATCACTTCCTAGCGGCATTTAAGGTTAAAAATTCATATTTTAACATTCCAAACTCCTATATAAACCCCCTCTAAGTCTCATTTTAAGTACAACAACTTCCCAATTAAATCTAAAGCCTCTTTCTCTATTCTTGAGTGTTCTAAAAGCTTTGTTCTTATTTTTCTTACTCTTTTGAGTATAAAGCTTTCATTATTTTTATACACTCACACACAAAGGCATTTGTAATTCATTATTTTATGTCTTGCCTATAGGCTTTTGTTGTTGTTGATTTAATCTTTTGTTCTTCTCCTACCCAACTCATATTTATTATTATTTTGGTAGAAAAGCAACATCAATCTTTTATTAATTTGTAAAAGGTGTGGATAGCCTTTAAATCCTCATTGTAAGGTTGAAGATAGCCTTAAAATCTTCGGTTGTAAACGGTTGAGATAGCCGTAGTAAAATTTCATTTGCTTATTGGCGAGGGTTGTTTGCCAAACCTCATTTGAGTCTTCTTAGTGAAGCCAAACAAGTTAGTGGAGGTTAAATCCTTGAGGAGGAGCCTCAAGGTACTGGAGTAGAGAGTTCCCGAACCAGTATAAAATCGCTTGTCTCATATTTTTATCTTTTATACTTTTCTTGCTCTTTTTCCGCTACTACTTTGCGCATAAGTTTTTGTTTTTACGAAAAACATGCTAACACCCTAATTCACTCCCCTCTTAGGGTGTAAACCGACTTTCACATTATACTCCTTTGAGTGATACTCCGTATAACAAATGGTTAGAAAACTCTATATTTATATATTAATTCATGTTTCAAAAAAGTTTGCTAGGGGTACAACAAGTGGTTTACCCCATTTGTACACCATTGATCTTAACCATTGATTTTTTTTTTAAATTTTTTCCTCTCTTGTATTTGTGCGGTGGAGATTGAGGGGGTAAATTTGGTGTACCCCTAACATATTTTATAAATATTTTTTAATTCTTAATAGTTTCTAGAAAATCTAAAAACTTGGTGTGAGGCATTACTAAAGAAGTCCTATTTCATTTTGATCTCTCCATGTTGGTTAGAGAAGATTAAAGATTTAGTCATTAAAAAAACATTTAACCATTTCGAATTGCTTTCTTAGATTTACTCATTTAGAAATTTTAAGTTAAAAAAATTTAATTCGACTATAAACCACTTAATGCCGGGAATAGTTATTGCAGGAAAACACGCAAATGTTTAATTATATTTAAATCTATTACTTGATGGTTTTAATATTTCTACGCAAGAGATATATAATAAAAATAAATAATCTTTTAGAGTGTCACGACCTAAAGCAACAAAATTCTTCATATACATTCAAAGTTAGCATGACATGTAACTAGTAAAAATTAGACTCTTCCAAAAACTATAAACAAATTTCTCAATGCATAAATTTATTCAAAAAAACTTATCAAACAAAACATATTTCAGATACGGAGTTCGTAACTCAATTAATTGTTATTCGGTCTTTCGAAAAATAAGAAATATATTCTTCCCACGCAACGTACGGGTACGAATATAATAAGATAAAATACAAAAATAAATACTTGAGGTGCTCTGTGATTAAGGTAAAATGTTTGATACGTGATAACTAATTGAGCAATGTTAAGGGTACACCAAGGTGTACTCCAAATGTACATCACTCCCTTCTTCACTATCCATTTTTATTAAGGTGTACCCCTAGCTTTTTCTAACTAATTTTAAAAAGACTATGAAGAGACTAAGGTAGTGTTTGGCAACTAAGATTTCATTTCAATTCATGCATTTTAATTCCAAAATTTAAAATCTTGAATTTCAAATAACAAGGAGAGGTGCATGGATTTAAAATTAAGCTTTGTTATGAATGAGTAGAATTTGATTCAAATCCAAATTTCAAATAACAAGGGGAGGTGCATGGAAATTGAGCCAAATCTGTATTTGAAATTCAAATCCATGTTCCCAAACATACCATAATTAATTTTACACACATTTTTGTCCTAATAAAGGAATGCACCGGTCATAAATAATCGTCTGTCTTTGGCTCTTCACTAACCCTCTAACAATCTAACCTGGTGAGAAAATGAAATTCAAAATTTGAATCTCCCCCAACGGCTCTATCCACCAAGTAAACTCGTATATTAGTAGTATATATACCACCGTTCTTGCCGCTGTTCTTCTCCATTACAGATTTACAGCTCATAGCACAGTTCCTAAACCCTAAAAATAGCCGGTACATCACTTACATCGCAAAATACCACCCATGGATTTCCACACCCTCGCCAGGAGAGATCTCCAAGCTCTTTGCAAGAAGAACAAAATTCCGGCTAACATCTCCAATGTTGCCATGGCTGACGCTCTCAAAGCTCTTGAGTTTGTAAGTCTTTTTATTAGCAATCAAGTCAGATCCATTCGATGCCTATGTGTGTAGCTGAGATTTGAATGAACCCAAAATTAAGTTTTCTTGTCCTTTTTTGTTATATTAAACCATCAGATACCCTTTTCTTCAATTCCATATTCCGATGTGATTGAATTCATCTGAAGTAGAAATATAAATGTATCCTCAGAATTTTGAGTCAATCGGGTAAGAGTGCAATCTTAAATTTTTACCTGGGGCTGTTCTTTACTAGATTTGAGTTCTGAAAGAAGTGTTCCATAATACTCTATGCAGTATAATTATGAATGACTGTAATTTTTGTAGATCCAAACTTCTGTTGGAAGAAGCTGTATATGTAGTTATGTACTAATGTACTCAGAGAGTTTCAGTGTTTCATACGATAAGCTCCATAATTTGCAATTATAGCTTCCCTCCAAATATGTAATTCTGAAGCTTTTTGAGAAATACGGTCATTTACATGTTAATTTCGTCCAGATCAAAGGTATTGAAGAGGGAATGAAGCTTTTGGAATCGGAAACAATGGCAGTTGAATCGCCGGAGAAGTCAGATATGATATCCAGCGCACCTCGCACTGGGAGAAGAACTGCAGTTTGCAAGACTGCTAAGAAAGAATCTGAAAATTCTCAGACTATTACTAGAACTCGGCGATTAACAAGAAAAATTGCCCCTGAAATTTTGGATGAGATGAAGAATAAAGCGGCTTTAGAGTCTCCAGCAGCACCAACTGGAAGAAGACAAAGGGCAGCTGGACCAAAGATGGAAACCTTATTGAAGGAATGTCTGGACAATGAGGAAGACAGGGAACAGATTTTGCACAAAAAGAAAGATCTTACAAAAACACCAGGAACTGTGATGACCAGCCGCAGGAAGGAAATGCCTAAGGAGAAGAGTTCAGTTTGCCAAGTGTACAGCACTCGCAGATCAGCTAGGTTGGCTGCAAAGCTATATGGGTCAAGCATACAGGAAACTGAAGCATCCGAAAATGGTACATGTGGTTCCCTTACCGTTGAAGCAGATGGGGTTATGAATATCAACTCCAAACTGCGTTCTCTTCACTTGGATGAAGAACATATGACAGTTGGTATGTTAAACTAAAAAAGAATGGAAATTTGATAGTTTCTCTTACTCTTTCGCTATGACCAATTTATTAATCTTATCATCTGCAGATTCAACAAGTGCCTCAGGTGGATTTCAGAATCAGAGTTTGGCTGGCAAGGCGATTACCAATGAGCTAGATGACATTTATGGTCAGTTGTATTTTAATTTTATTTTTCCTTGATATTTTTTGAACTTTATGTTTATCCTTTTTCCAACTCTTCCCTGAATTGCAGCAAATGTAGAATTATCTTCTGGCAGCAAGGAATCCAATGATGTAGAAATGGATTTGCAAGAAGGTGCTGATCTCAAGCTTAAATGCCAAGAGGTTGTTGCTGATAATATGGCTGTATCAGAAAAGTTGGATGATGATGATGATGATAAGCCTGAGGTGCCATATACAGGTGAAATTACTGAATACGTGGTAGAAAATGCTGATGCTCTTTATAGTTTGGATGTTGGCATGTCTTACTTGGGGAAAAAGTATTTGCTATTATTTAATTATATTCATGTAGTTTCATCTTATAAATCCTATTGTGGTCAATAGATTCAAGTGCCTTATGTGAAAACAAAAATGAAAGTTTTGTAAGAAAGGAAGTGAATGTGGAAATGCACCAAAGCTCTGAAGACTTTGCTACCGAGGAGCCGAGTGACATTTACAGTCAGTTTGAACATTTTCATTATCTGTGTTTGCTTCTAAAATCTTGGAAGCTCAATGTGGAAATTCTTTTAACTACTGTTCGAAATGCAGTAATTGGCAAGGAAAGAAATGATGCTGGAATGGTTATGCAAGAATGCGACCAGGAAATTCAGCTTGAATGCCAGGAGGTGTTTGGTGATGATAAGTCTAAAGTGCCAAATACAAGCGAAATTTCTGAATGTGTGGTAGAAAATGCTGATGCATTATGCAGTACAGAGATTTTTCTTGGTATGGCTGATTGACTACGTTATAATGCATTTGATTTTGTACAATGTTGTATTTCTTCCATCCCTGAACCCTATATGTAATCAGTTGCAGATTCAACAGTCTGTTTGAGTGGAAATGGGAATAGAACATTGGCCAGCGACGAACAGAATGTTGTTGTTGATACGCACCCAAGCTCTGAAATGAAGTTGGAAGAATATGTGGTAAAGAATGTCGATGAGCCCAACACTAATCAAATCTTTGGTGGTGTGATGCAGCCATTGGATGATGGTGAGAAGGTAGAAGATGAAACCTTCCACTGCATGGCAAAAGAAGACGAAGAGGCACTGCTCCTATCAAAGCAGTTTGGCGATGATACCAACATCGGTGAAATGCCTTCTGACTCTGAAGAATCTGAAGAACACAATGTAATTATTAATCTTCAGGTTAATAATGGTGAGAAGGTAGAAGATGAAACCTTCTACTGCATGGTAAAAGAAGACGAAGAGGCACTGCTCCTATCAATGCAGTTTGGCGATGATACCAACATCGGTGAAATGACTTCTGACTCTGAAGAATCTGAAGAACACAATGTAATTATTAATCTTCAGGTTAACACTACCATTGTTGATGATGAAGTTGAAGAGGGTGAAAACATTCTCCTTTCGAAGCAGGTCGGTAATGATATCCGTGAAACAGATTCAGACTCCGAGGAATCTGAAGGTGTAATAAATAATCTTCAGGTTGACACCACCCCAATGGATGTTAAAATCTCTGATGGCGAAAAGGATCTGCTACAGTCAAAGGAGTTGGGCAAAATGTCTTTTGACTCTGATGAATCTCAAAAACAATGTGTAGTAATCAATCTTCAGGATGATAAGATTCTGCTTCTTTCAAAGCAGTTGGGTGAAACAGCTTCTCACTCCGAAGAACCTGAAGAAGGCGTAATAATCAATCTTCAGGTTGACACCACCTCAATAAATGTTGGAATATCCGATGATGAAAAGGATCCGCTACTGTCAAAGCAGTTGGTCAAAATAATGTCATTTTACCCTGAAACATCAGAAGATGTGATAATAAATCCTCTGGTTGGCGAGGATGTTGGAGACAATGATGGAAAAACGAAATCTGATAGTAATAATACTACTGATGTTGATGAGGGGAAGAATAGTGCCAAGTTTGATCAAGAAGAAAATGATGCTGAAACCCTTCTTGTGCCTCAGCAACCTTCAATCTCCACTCTGGTGTTCTCAGACGACAAGGAGAACATTGACACTAGGGAGGGCATGGAATTGGATCTAACTAAAAAGAAAAAGGATGGAAACAATCTTGATGAAATGAGCATAAGACAGCTCTGTAAGAAGTTGAAAGAGTTGAATCCTTATCATTCACAGCAGGTAGAAGAAGAACATGAAGATGGTGATGGAGCTCCTCCTCCCTTCCATGCAAGAAACAACAAGAAGCAGAAATGGCGGAAAGGCGGCAAAGCCTTTGTCGCACAGCGCACTGCTGAGAACAGACCTGCACTTCAACAGGTTCCACACAACTGCTTGGTTGGTAATTCCAAAAAACAGCTCCCATTGATATGATCAATATCCAAGAGCAATCACTTTGTGGTTGCAGTCTTCTTCAAGACAAACAAGAAATGGCCAAGAACATTTTCAATTACGTTCTTTTATGGAGTAGTTATAATAATTAACTGCTTTTAATATTACAATTGTCACTGAGGATATTTTGCTATTTGTGCATTTCAAGGTTTTGAAGTGCCGTGAGTTTATTATATTTATACGCCGTTTTTCCAGTAATATTTTATTGTTTTAATTATTCATGAGTTTCTCATTCTTCTTTCATTTTGTTTGTTTAAAAAAATCGTTTGTCAGAAATTCTGAACTTGTGTTTTATGTATAATCATGAACTCTTCCACCATTTTTATCTCATTGTGAATAGATGATACTCATTACTCTCTATCCCTATAGGAAAATGCTAGGATGCCACCACATGGGTGCTATCATGGGTGCACCCATTCTTCGCACAGACAAACACAGACGATAATTGTCTGTGTCGCACAGACAATTATCGTCTGTGTTTGCCTGTGCGAAGCATGGGTGCACCCATGGTAGCACCCATGTGGTGGCACCCTAGCATGGTCCATCTCTATAATTGTCATGACTTATTTGTTAATATTCATAAAATTTGATTGATATTGCAAAATAAATTGAGATGGAGCGTTTTTTTTGGAATCACAATAGTCTCCTCTAGTCATGTAATGTATTTCAAAGCTATGTTTATGCAGAGTATGAATCATCTCACATTTGTCTTCGCTAAAAGTTGAGCTCGACCATTACACTCTTTCACACCCCTATTCATTTCTGGAACAATGCCCCCGGGCTCACATATCTCATTAGTGACATCAAAAGTTATGTACTTGTGCTTTTTTTAGGAGAAAAAGCAAGTGCATTCAAATCTCATTTTGTAAATCCATATTTGAAAGAAACCTCACTTATTAAAATAGTTATAAATTAGCTATCATTACTTTATACAAACTTTTAAGAGCAACAAATCATTAGTTTGACGATTTCTGTTAAATGTCGTGCCCAATTTGATGATAAAATTTATATTTTCCCCTCAAAATGTTGTTCACTGTGAATGTGATTGTTTTAAATATTCAAATGTAAAATATTCTCTTAGCACACGTTTTATAGTGAAAGAAAAAAATATAACTTTATGTTAAAATGACTTTTTTTGTACAAGTTGTTAAAACAGTAAAAAGCTCTATCTTGCTATAAATTGGTGATGGATTAAAGCTTAAAAAAGGGGAACGACGGGATAGAGAGTCGCGGCTTAGGCCGCGGCGGTGGGCGGTGGAGGACGCGACAACCAGCGGCGGCGACGGTAGCGGCTGCAGCTCCAGTCGACGATGGGCGGCGGTCTCCAACTCCGGTCATGGTTCCTTCAAGCTCCAATTTCTTCAATTTATTCATCTTCTTCAACAATTGGTAATCCTATATTTGTTAATTTTTTTCTCCAATTCTTTGTAAGTATTGTTTGTAGTTTAATTTTTACATTTTTTGCTTATTTGTGTTAATTTCAAAAATTATAAAAAATGGTTGGTGTTCTTTTATGGTTTTTTTCATGTTTATATTAAATCTCTTATGAATGAAAATTGATTCATATTGTTTTCTTCAATTTTTGTGCAAATTGTTGTTGAATTGGTTGAATCGCACGGTTTGATTTCATAAGTATATTGTATGTGGAATTCGGTTTTGATTGAAGCTATTATAGCTCCATATTATAGTTAAATGATTTCCGAATTCATATGTGATTCTTCGTTGTGCTATGTGTTTTGTAAAATTTTAAGGTTTATGGACTTCTTAGCCCCATAAGTTGGTCGTTTTCCTTAAGATTCGTTATAAAGCGATTGTTATGTCGTGTGTTTGTTTGTTGATTTTCATAAAATTTAAAGTTGTTTAAGCACAAAAACAATTTTTAAGTTTTTGAAAATATGTAATGTTCTCTTATATGAATAGATTACAATTCTTATGCTTAAGTTGTTCAAAGAGACCTGCAAAATATTTTCATCATTAGACATTAAAGTTTATTAAAGTGTATAAAATGTTCTTCGTGGATAAATTATGCATGAGAGTTAGAATGAAAGAAAGATTCGCTCTTTTATTAACTTTTTCTTCTTTTGGAATCATTGTTTGAGTGCTTGAGGTGAGTTTGGGGTTCAAAGTTATCCAAAAGGCCTTTGAATTACATGACTCCGGGCCTTATAGAGAGTTGACGATCCTCTATATGTGGTCAAGGATATGATTCAACTCGATCCTTTGAATTATTTTCTATTCTTAAGTGCGTAAGTTAAGTAATATATTGTCTCCGTGCCTATTATACGTGTAATGTTTGTTTTGTGTTCGTTCTCTTTTTAATTTTGTTTCGGGTTCTTTGCGGTGTTTCTTGGGTTACCTTGGTTGGAGTAGTTGATTATCTTTTGAGCTTGTTTTCCCCCATTTTATCAAAAAAAACAACAAAAATAAGAAAAATAAAAAATAAAAAAAATATTTACTTTTCATCCAACAACCCCCCCCCCCTTTGTGTTTTAAGTTATAATATAAGTTTTTATTTACTAAGTTTATTTAATAAGTGTTTATTTATAAGTTATAAATATACGTTTTTATACTTTATTTACTTTTATATACTTAAGTATTTGTTATGAGTTTATAAGTTATATTATAAGTTCTTTGTTTATATAAGTTATATTTATAAGTTTTTATATTTATTTAGTTATAAGTTTTATACGTCTTATCACATGTGTAGGAGTTAGTTCGTTTTGTTTAGTAACAATGTGTGTGCATGCTATTTTGATTTCAAAAGTACAAACTTTCTCCGTGGGATCGATTATTACTTGCCCTAGCTATAGTTTTTATTTGATTATATTTTAGGGGTTAGCTAAGGGTATCTATAAATTTTTAATTTGTTTTGGACCGTTCGACAAGTCTTCAACAAATTTTGGCGCCGTGGCCGGGGAAGGTTTGTATAAAATCATTTTAGTATGCCTGTGTGTTCTATGTTCTTTGTTTGGAAGAAACCAAGAGTTGATGAAGTAGCCTCTTTTCTTTTGTTCTAGACTGAATTGCATGTTATATATTCAATAAGGATGTTATTTGTTCTTGAATGAACTAAAATCAGCGTGTTTTTTTGTCTTGATGCTGAAATATATGATCTATTTGCAATTTTTATGAAATTTCAGGCCTATTTTTCCTAAAAATTCCATTTTGACACTATGTTCTGCATTTTTTTTACTAGTTTATGTATCCAATTGATCATATATGTTGCATTTGTGCTGCCTCATTTTTTTATGAGTACAACATGTATGATTTGATGAGGCAAGAGTTCTGTGCTGATCTTGATGCCTTTAATGCTAAATATGCAAGAAAAAAATGATTTTACTTGCTATTTTTTATAAATCTGCATTACTCTTTCTGTTTTTGTTCCTTAAGAGTGTTACATTTCTTAAAATATGAACTATAATTGATATATCTTGCTTGGGGACAAAATCTAGAAGCATGACATGATGTTAATATGCTGATTTTTGAGGTTTAGAAGCTAAATTTGTTGAGCTTCAGACCTACTGTGTTGTTTTTGTTAAAAAATCTGCATCTTTTCTTGATTTTCATGCTGAATTTGAGTTCCTAAGATGCCTACTTGCTGAATTATGAACTTTAGTTATTAAATACATGCATAAGAACTGACTTGGAGGTATTTAGCTTGTTTTTGCACTCTCAAATTTACCCTTATATGCTAAGTTTTGATGTCAAAAAGCAAAAATGCAGAAAACTTGGTTTCTAAAAACTTATTTGAAGCTTAAATTTTGCACTTAGAATTTGAGTTTTGTTTCCCAATTGAGCTTCAAGTGTTATTATTTATAGAAGTTGGAAACAAAAGCTGGATTCTTAATTTTACACTTTGATGTTTTAAAGAAACACAATTTACCTTACTACTTAATGGTTTAATTGAATATGCGTTTGCAAGTAGTAACCTGTGTCTAGCCAAGTACGTTAAATCGGGCGGTTTGTGGGAGGCAACCCACTACTTTTATAGTGTTTTTGACTTTTTTTTAAGTATTTATGCTTAACTCACTAACTTCTTGTTGTTGTAATAGTATTAGTGATACTAATAGTAGTAGTAGTACTTGTTGTAATAATAGTTTTTTTTCTTATTCTCTTTCACTTAGTTCTTAAAAACACACAAAAGAAGGGTATAAATTTGAAAAGATAGAATGTTGCTGCATTTATAATGCTTAATTGTTTCTTTTTACTTCATTTGTGCTTCTAACCATCTACTTTAAGAGCTTTTTGCAAGATTTATCAAGTTATAGGTTGGAGCATTGTTGTTTGGGGTAAAATTTTGCACTGTTGGGTGCAAATCTGTTTTGAAACAGGAGCTCTAAGTGCCTGCGTGTTGGTATGCTACTAATTTTCATTTTTCTTAATCCTTGGGTGTTTAGATTTGATCTTATTTGGGCTGGAAACTGAAAATTTTTGCATCTTTCAAGCTAATTTGGACTACAAACCATTAAAAATCTGCTTTGCTTTATATGATTTTTGGGCTATAAACTGAAAAATATGCACTTTGTAAGTTGTTTTTTTGAGTGAAGAATGAAAATTCTACACTTTTCACGGCTTATATGTACTAAATTAGAAAAATCTACATTCTTTTAAATCTGATTTTTTGTTCTTCAATGCTAAAAAACTTGGTCTTAGCCTTTTTTGCAGATTTTTAGGTTCAAGAAAAGCATGATAAAGATTGGGGGTGATGAATTGATGCCGCGTATACTTTTTTAAGATTCGCATTCTCCTTCCCATCATTTCCTCTTTACTTTTGTTTCATTACTCTCCATCCCCTTCTCTCTTGTCTTAATCTCTTTGTTATATCATTATTCGTTGTTATTCATTTGCATATCATATAGATGCATTGAACACTATGCATATTTTAAGTGTGGGGGGAGGTTCTCATGTTTATGTCCTTGTTTGGGGGAGTATATTTTTGGAGACTTTTTTAAAAAGGTTTTGGGTCCAAATATTTTTTTCATTCTTAATTGAATTTCTCTTTATTTAGAGCATTTTTTTTTAAAATTTGACCATAAACCTGATTTTTTTCGTTGGGCTTTATTCTGAAAGTTGACAAGTGTATTCTTTATTACTCTTCTTGAGCCTTATGCCCATTTTCTTGGTAAAATGACCTTAAAGTGTTTAAATTCTTCTAGCTAGGTATCCTTAGTATTTTTGTTTTTTTTAATTGGTCATCCACATATTATCTAGATGCTGTTTTAATAACCTCATGTGATCTTTAGAATATAAAAAAAGTAGTTTTAAGAGTTTTTTACTTTTTAGAAATTGTTTGATTTTTTATTTAGGTTTTTAAAACAATTTTGCTACCGTTGCCATTGAGGTGTTTTGAACTATAGGATTCCCTTAGGAAACTTTTTTGTGGCAACTTTAGAGCATTTTAGAACCCAAATAATCTATATTTTAGATCTCCATCCTTATAGAACTTTTAGCTCACCTTGTTTTTAAAATGCTATGGGCATTAAGTCTTAAATGTGGGGGTGTAAGTTACATTTTGTTCTTCTTGATGATGATAAAAAAGAAATCTATTTTCTTGGTCTTTTAAACGAGGACGCTCAAGTCTTAAGTGTGGAGGTATTTGATAAGTCGGGTTTGGGTTAGTTCTTTTTTAGGTATTTTTAATATTTTTAGTATTAAACTTTTAGTTTTTTAGCTTAGTTTTATTTTAGTTTTTATTTTTACATTCTTTTTATTTTCTTTCATAAATAGTAGCTTTTTAATCATTTTTTTACATAATATTATTTTTATTTTGTTTTTCTTAACCCAAGTTATAAGATATCTTATTTTTTTGGAAAAAAATATAACAGAAGGCCAAAACAGAGTTCAAGTTTGAAAAAAAAAAATGAACTTAGGCCCGGAGCCCAAACCCAACAACAAGAAACAAGCCCAACTCTCCTATCCTCCTTCCACTTTATCTTCACGCAACAAAAAGAAAAAAAAGAAACGAAGAATCTGCTTCTTCTCCATCGCGCAACAGGCAAAAGTGTAACGGTCCAACATTGAAGTCTCCAACGGGAAAAAATTCAACGCTAAAAAGCTCTATCTTGCTATAAATTGGTGATGGATTAAAGCTTCAAAATGGGGAACGCCGGGAGAGTGAGCCGCGGCTTAGGCCGCGGCGGTGGGCGGTGAAGGAGGCGACAACAAGCAGCGGCGACGGTAGCGGTTGCAGCTCCAGTCGACGATGGGCGGCGGTCTCCAACTCCGGTCATGGTTCCTTCAAGCTCCAATTTCTTCACTTTCTTCATCTTCTTCAACAACTAGTGCATCACCCGTGCGATGCACGGGATAATATTTACTTGTAAATTCAAGATGAAATTAAAAATAATTGAGTGAGTATTTTGTTATTTTCTCTTCTTACTAATACATACATACATACATACATACATACATACATATATATATATATATATATATATATATATATATTAAAATAGAGCTAGTAATGAGCAAATTAAGCTAGAAAAATATGATCTTTGGTACTTATTTTTAAAACAATTTTTTTGTTTCTCCATTTTTAGAAATTTATTCGCAAAACTATCATTTATCATTTGTGAATATTTTCAAATAATATATCTATCATTTAAGTCATTTTTACTTCAACGAAAGAATTAGGGGTAAGCATGGTACGGTATGGTATGGTATTTAGCTCGTACCGATACTGTACCAAATATTTCGGTTCAGTATGAGATTTTACCTCGTACCGATCCCGATCCCGGTTCAATATGGTTCGGGATGGTTCGGTATCAATTTCGGTATAAATCGGGATGAATATACATAACTACTTTGCACGTTACTCCGTAAAATTTAACAATGACACATTACTTTTGAAAATTAAAAAGTGAATTTAAATAAACAAACATGAAAAATTTTTAAAAAATGAATATTTTAATGCAAGAAATGCGTATCAAAACGTAGTTTATATTTCACAAACTAAAAAATGAATAACAATTAAGGAATATTTCAAATCTTTGTAAATACTTTCATGTTCATACACAAAAATTAAAACTCAAATAATTATATACTTTACACATAATAGAACTTGAACTAATATTTAGTGAAGGTATATAAAAATATTACTCCGGGATATTATTTTTTATAATATTTTAGTATATATGTTCGGTTCGGGATTTTCGGTATGGGAAGTCCCCTCGTACCATTCCCAAATACCGTACCGACCATTCAGTTCGGTACGGTTCGATTCTTTCTCAATATTTTTTCGGCTCGATATTTTTCAGTTCAGTATTCTCAGTTTTTTCGAGAAATTTTAGTATCGGCTCGATACTTGCTCACCTCTAGAAAGAATATTAGACTTAAAAGCAGCTTATAAGTTAAGAATTATTTATTAACAATAAAGCAATAAGTACCAACACGGAAAAAATATCTACTATGTAAAAATATGGAATACTGAGTTTTTTTTGAAGTATCTATACAAAAAAGAACACTACTACAAACTTTAGGCGTAGTATTATATACCTCCAATATATGCTATTTTATAAATAATTTGGAGGATAAAATCTCAAATGTATGCTCTGATTGGAAAGCTAAAAAATAGAATAATTTATATTTTAGCTTCCTCACTCTCTATAATTGAAAGGCCCTACACATCTTCTATTTCTCTCATTTCTGTCCATCATATGTCTTCAACATCATCTATTGATACACACAAAGAAATCATCTGCCTTCACCAAAACTACTCCTTCAATCATCCTCTAGTCCTTTGTTCCTTCAATATCAAGATAAGGTGTATTCCTACTGCTCCTTCAATAGATGCATACATTGGAGGAAGAAACAAAGGACAAAGGGTGTATTCCTACTTCTCCTCAAGTCACTTTTGGCACCTCAGTAACATGAATAGCCAATATAAGATAGACAATATGTCATTGACATTTCTACTATAAAATTATGATATTAATTGAATCTATCATGACTGGCAAAAAGTGATTCAACATCAATAATATCTCATAATAAAACATAATATTATGCCAATGCCTCAAAGACTCCCACCTACCGCAGAGTAAAGGGGGCCGGATGTAATATGTTTAAAAGATAAAACTACAATTTCCAAATGACCGATGATAAGCATTGAAAATCACTTAGTATATTATAATCGCGTTGAAAACTGCATCAATTCTAAAGCATGAATAACAGATCCAACAAAATGTTAAACTCTTGAAATTGGAGTTGTATAACAAATTTAAGACGGTGCAAACAACATTACTCGTATCTCAGCATATGAAGATGCATAAACACTCCTAAAGGATAACATTTTGCTGAAATTCAGAGAAACAACTTTACTTTCTCTTCAACCTTCTCATCGCACAACACGAGGGGTTTTTCTTAAGTTGATATTTGGAATTTGGAGATGTTTTTTCTTTTTTAAAAATTGATAAAATTGCAAGTATTAAAGAATCAAAAAGGCCAATCACACAACAAACACATAAATACTGACCTCATAAAAATTCATTTCCTAGCAGCATTTAATCAACATTGCTAATGATATATTGTAAAACTATTGTTTGAACATTCGATACAATAGAAAGAAAAAAACAGGTACTTACAAGCCATTTTCGATGATACTTTTATGTAGGAAGAGAGTTGACATAGTTGTGCTGTTTATAAGTTTCGTGAAGTCCAAGAGCTTGTCATAAAAAAAGTTGCTGTATTTGCTGCAAGTTAACAGAAATTTAAAAAAATAAAGTAGATAATCATGGAATTCAAGTAAATATGTCGCAGATTTTTTAAAATAAAAACTAAAAGAATCTAAATAGGCGATTTCCATCACGTAAGCTGAACAACAGATTGCACCGAGCAAATGCGAGACACAGACGACACACAAAAGAATAAATGTTGTTATGACTTCTTACGAAGTATCTTTGACGTGCAAACTTGCCGATGAGGGATGAACCATGACGGAACTCGTTCCGCAAGGAATGAGCCGATAATCAAAAACGTATGTAGACTGTATAATGAAGGGTTCCCGAAAGACTCGCTCGAGAAATGCATTGAAGATTAACGATCCTTAGGATGTAGTCCTTGAAACACATTTTTGAATGTGTGTGATTGTACAAACGTTAGGTTTGAATGTCTTGGAAAACGAAAAATTAATATCCCTGAACCGTTAAAATTTATTTGTAATCTATATCTATACGTTGACTACACTGATTGTTCTCCACTTTGACCCATTGACGGTGGTCAAGCTTCTACACGTGAATGGAGATGGTATCTCCATAACAAATTGACAAAACCTCTTTCCAAAACCATGTAATAACATATCCGTGAAGATAGAAATGCCTTTTGTGGCAAGAATTTTATGTAATAACGTTGACTTTGACCTTTATACTCATACTCTACGAAACGGTTGACTAAAATGTAATGAAGAACGTGCTCTAGATAAACGCATTTAAGAAATCACCATGACCCTACTGTACCAGTTGGTACGTTCCTACGATTCCTGAAGAATCTCGCTCAAGATCTCAACGATGAAGATGTTACTCTACCAACAAAGACACGCGTACGTATGAACAATAGATGGTATTGTATTTTGTCACTCAAGGTATTCACATCACCGTAAACGAATCACTCAAAGAATCGCCGAATGAAAAGATTATTGTGAAGATCGTTACGAATAAACTTGGAAAATTTTCTATTAACTAAATTCCTAAAACGAAAATCCATAAATGAAATCCTAAGTACCTTGATATTATTGAAAATAGTGGACGTAATCACATGTTGAAGAATCTTCTTTCTGTTCAGAAAGGGAGCCGTTGATAAATAAATGATCGAATTAATTGTTACTAGGAATATATTTTGTTATAGACCCAAGCAGAACGAACTCATACGCTAATGATGCGAAAACATTGTTGAATATGATTAATAAGCAACCTGCTACTAGTACGCATAAGAAGTTGCCTCCTCTCGAGAGCAATACGAGCATGAAGTGGAAACATCATGAAACCAACCATGACGATATGTGATGTATCCGAGCCCGACCCTCTCAGGTCCTTCCCCACGCCTCACACAATCATGGGATCCAAAGGACTTACGCTCAAACTTTATGATCCATTTTAATAGGAGTTCAAAGTCCTTTAACCAGAAAGGCGAAAATAATTTTCGTTTTTTACCTAAGGGTTCCGCTGGCCAACCCCCATCCCGCCCAACCCAACCCCAAACATCCAAAAGTATTTTATTTCCTTTTGATATCCAAAATAAAGACTCTTCCATCTATTTTAACCCCTGGTCAAAATAAGAAACCAAAAAAGCCCCATTCATCTTCCAACATTCACCAAACATGGTTCCTACTATCTTCCCTATTACAACCCACTAAACAACCATAAAAGGCCAGAAGACACATGGTAATTTCTTAACCCTTTAACCACCAAATAAATCCTTATATATGCAGCCAAAGTACCACATATCACCCTTTCCCTTGGTTTTATCCAACCCTGATTTTCTTCCATTTCATATCTCTCCATTTCTTCTCCTTCATCTCATTCTTTTCTTGAATTAAAACACCAAAAGAACTCCTTCTTTATCTCCATATTTTTCCAGCCATTCCCCACATAAATACCACCATTTTCCACCCATATTTTGGGCCCTGGTAACTTTGATAATCAATTATCAAACACAGATAATCGACTATCATACCCATATCATACCCTTATTTTGTCCCCGAACTCTCTTGGGTCCCCGAAACACAGATAATCGACGAACTTGTTGAACTCTCCGGTCTAGAAGTTATTTTCTAATTAAATAAATAAGAATTATTTATTTAGGACAATCTATTCTTTTAAAGAATTAAAAGATACCTTGGAGATTCTAATCGTCTCAATATAATAAAACTAATATGATTATAGTTAGAAACATTTAATGTAAAAGATTGACTCAAGTACTAGTATTAGGAAAGTAAGAGTATAAACCAGGTGGATGCCTGCTGAGCTCCAATGGTTAATTAAAACTGGGTAAAAACGTATGTATGGGTCTCCTTTAACTGCCTGGTGACCCATCAGGTGGGGATTCCACCCACCCAACGGGGAACACCCTCGTTGGTTGAGCATGACCCGCTGATCCAGTGGGAACAATCATGACTCCAAGAAGAGTAGAAAGTCCATAGTCTAGAGTTGAGTACAAGTACAAATAAATGGTAATCCACCACTACGAGATACGCTCCGTTTCGGCGAGATTGGAAAAAGGGCAGGTGCTAGGTAAATTATACGATGAACTATTAATGTGAATTGGGTGATATTAAACCTATGTGCATGATATCATGTTATGATTGTGAATTAGTGGATTTGCCTATGTGTATGTTTGAACTTGTTGGGAAACGAGGCTTGGATGATGCAGCAGAAAACAAAAATTTAGAGTCCAAAACTCGATTCCACCCAAGAACAACTTACGTAAATTACTAGCTATAGTAAGAAAGTTACCTTAACGGCGAAAACGGAGAACAAAGAAACAGTCGGGGATGGTTTTGAGGAGATGAACGTAGCGCCAAACATATGAAACCTCAAACGTATTTATACGAACTTGCTTCGGGGTCCTAGATTCAACTTGTGCTGGCAAGTTTAATATGGGATAGTAAAAACTATATATAATATTACTACTTTGGGGAGTAATAAACATATAGTAAAATATTTATCTTATAAATATTTCTTTATACTCCCTCCATCCGAAAATGTTCTTCCCACTTTCCTTTTTGGCCCGTCCGGAAATATTCTTCCCATTTCCTTTATTAGTATACTTTTTAAGGATAAATTTCAATAATACCCTTCTATTTTATCACTAATCTACTTTTTTATTGCTTTCTTAATAAGAAAATGTGATTTAAAAGTTTATAGTATGTGCATTTTTGGAAATTTGGTATTTTTTTATAATCCCTATTAAGCGTGCCAAGTCAACACGGGAAGAATATTCCCGGACGGAGGGAGTAATATTTTCTGTATATTTCTAACACTTTAGAAAAAAGACTTTGAATACAAAATAATATTTTCTCTCTTTTCTCTTTGAGGTGGCCGAAAATAGTGTGTTAAAATGAGGAGGGATACTCACATTTTATAACACAATACTTGAAGGAATTTTCTTGGAAATTACTTAGGGACAAAACAAATTAGGATTAATGTAATGTCCCCAACCAACACAACAAGACAAATATTCTTTACTAATCAAATATTTGATTATATCAATCAAATATATCATTAGGTGGAATATCAAAATATGTTTTGTATTTTCCCCTTTAAAATGCATTATATTTTATTTTGACATCAATAATTATCATATAATTAGATTGATGAGAATAAAAATAATACAAACACACAGACACACACACACACAGATATATATATATATATATATATATATATATATATATATATATATATATATATGGGAGCGTCTAAAATGACACCAGTTACTTATACACCAGTTGCTTACACCAGTTCGTTTGGGGTACCTACGGTGCTCCGTTTGTAAA